CTAGAATGCAGTAGTCTCATCATAGCTCCCTGCAACTTCAAACTCCTGGGCTCAAGCAATCCTCCTGCCTCAGCCTCCAGAGTAGCTGGGATTATAGGCAAATGCTACCATGCCTGGCTAATTTTTCTATGTTTTGTGGAGACAGGGTGTCACTGTTGCTTAGGTTTGTCTCGAACTCCTGGCCTCAAGTGATCCTCCCACCTCAGCTTCCCAAAATGCTAGGATTACAGGTGTGAGCCACTGCGCCCGGCCCTGCTTTCCTTTTTATGGCCAAATAATATTCTATTGGATAGAGCTGATGGACAACTCCATCCTTACCTTTCCCTAGTGCTTTAGAGTTTTTAAGGTACTTTTATGTACATGATCTCATTTAAGTCTTGTAGCAACTCTGAGAGAAAATGGAAGCGCAGAAGACTAAGTGGTGTATCCCTAGAACCACCCAAACAGAAACCGTGGCAGTCTCAGGACCAACTTGTGGATCTTTTGACCCTCAGTCAAGTGTTCTCATTACCCCAGCTGATAGCTTCCTGGCTGACTCCAGAAATTTGGGAGAAGGAAAAAGTAAAGAGAAAAATTAGGGCAAAAATGCAGGAGATTGAAAACCTATGTCTACAGAAAAACTTGCACTCAGAGGTTTATAGCAGCTTTATTCATATTTGCCAAAACTTGAAAGCAGCCAAGATGTCCTGCAGTAGGTGAATGGATACATGAACTGTAGTACATCTAAGCAGTGGTCCCCAACCTTTTTGGCACCAGGGGACCGGTTTCATGGAAGACAATTTTTCCATCGCGAGGAGAGGTAGAGCTCAGGCTGTGATGTGAGCAATGGGGAGCGGCTGTAAATACAGATGACGCTTTGCTGGCTAGTCCGCTGCTCATCTCCTGCTGTGCGCCCGGTTCCTAACTGGCCACGGACCAGTACCAGTTTGGGACCCGGAGGTTGGGGCTGCAGATCTAAGTCATGGAATATTATTCAGCACTAAAAAGAGATGAGCTATGAAGCCATGAAAAGACATGGAGGAACCTTAAAATGCTTATTACTAAGTGAAAGAAGCCGATCTGCAAAGGCTACATACTATATGATTCTGACTATATGACATTATTGAAAAGGCAAGACTATAGAGACAGTAAAAGCATCAATGGCTGCCAGGGGTTGGGGGCAAGGCGGGGATGAACAGGTGGGGCACAGAGGACTTGGGGCGGCAGTGAATCTACTCTGGATAATGCTCTAATGGTGGATACATGTCATTATACATTTTGTCCAAACCCATAGAATGCACAACATCAAGAGTGAATGCTAATGTAGACTACGGACTCTGAGTGATAAAGACGTGTCAGTGTAGGTTCATGGGTTGTAACAAATGTCCCACTCTGGTAGAGGATGTTGATGGTGGGGAGGCTGTATATGTGTGGGGGGCAGAGGGAATATGGGAAATCTCTGCCCCTTCCCATTAATTACACTGAACCTAAAACTGCCCTAAAAATAAACTCCATTTAAAAAATAGCAGGAGAAGGTTGTAAAATGGACCGATTATAAATGTATGGCTCCTTATCAGCCGACGATACATTTTCCCTTCTCTTGCATGGACAAGAAATGGGATATTCTGGGTAATTCAGGGCTTTGCTTAGGTATTGCATTTTCAAAGGATGAGAACACAGTGAAATACTCTCAACACTAAAACCACATGGACCATAATTTAATCTTTAATTTTGTTGTTGTTGTCATTCTCAAAGGCTCTTCAGTGTATTTTGGAGCCGTGTTTCTCCAAGAGTGGTCCAGGGAAAACCTCAGCTCTCTGCATCATTTGATAAAGGTGCTTGTTTTAAAATGCCATTTTCCACCCCGAGTCTACTGAAAATCACTAGGTGATTTTATGCACACTAAAGTTTGGGACCCACAGTTTTAGAGTAGTGAAAGTCAAAATACGAGTATCAATTATCATCGCACTCAAGAGATGCAGACATTCTGCTTAAACGAGAGTTCTGGATCATAAAATACATTCACATATCTCATCTCCTTCAAGTCTTTGCTAAAACATCACCCTTCCTGTAAGAATTTTCCTGATTTAAAATTGCATAGCACCCTCCTCCCCATGCTACCCACCCTCCCTATATCACTCTTCCTTCTCCATAGCAGTTACAACATCTAACTGAGCACACCACTTATTTGTTTGTTCATTCATTCACTCACTCATTTGTTCATTCATTTACTTATCTGACTCCTATCTCTAGAAAGCAAACATACAAAGGTAGGTGCTGGGAATACAGCACCTAAGACAGTGTCTGGTATACAGAAGGTGTTCAGTAAATATTTGCACCAAGTTGCCTCTTAGTGCTTGGGCACCATGTCATTTGCCCCACTGTCTTTCTCGAGAGGATTAAAAAAACTATAAATCAAATTATTCTTTTATTCTTTGAGTGATGCTGTGTGTGTGTAGTACTAGAGAGAAAGAGCTGGAACCACATCTTCTAATCTCTTAATTCTGGAGTCCAGGCCAGTTGCTCTAAAGATCATTTTCCCTTAATACCGCTGAGATCCTCAACTACTATGAGGATCATGTATTTACAGCTGCATTGTCCTGTGAGGGCTACTCCTAGAAAGACTTGTTGCCCCCACTGTGAACAAAGTGGACTGAAGCTGTGAGGCTGAGATAAAGCTGCAGTGGGAAAGGACTTCTCTAAGCTGACCCCGTATGTGACTCTGCTACAAACCTGGTATTGACACAAAGATGTAGAGGCTTCCTCCTCTGAGGTCCTGAATGAGGATGCCAATAAACAGATCCTATCTCAAGCTACTTCTTACACAGTCTTGGCTGGCTCTGAACAAATGACCCTCACCCATTTCCTGTCCTCCAAGCCACCTGCCCAACAGCACCAGCGCACAAATCAATGCCCATGAACACCTGGAGATCCTCACTCCCTGCACTTCTGCCCTGACCCCATTTTAAGGTCAGACCTAGGAATGGCCAGTTCCCTAATACTGCAGATGCCACCTGCTGACCCTCGTCTGTGTCTTTCTTCCAACACTCCTGATGTTCCAATTTGTGTTGGGATGCTGAGAAACTGCGGGGCAGAGAGGAGGATGAAAACAGGAAAAAGCAAGTTTGTTGCTAGTGTTATGCTCACAGGGTGGCAGGATATGCCTGCTGAGCACTCCCAGAAGGTCCCCAAGGAAACCATTACTGTGAGTCTCTCACGTTCATCTAACTATGGTGGCTGGGGTGGGGGGAGGGAAGGTGTGCCAAGAAGAGGGGGATGGGTACCCTTCCAGGGGTCAGTTATGTCGCCCAGAGCTGCTCTACACATTAATAAAAGGTGGTTGGATATAGGAAGGATGTGAAGGTAGGCGCAAAGGGCTTGTCACCAAGGGTTGTCACTGGGTTACACTGGGTGGATTAAGGTCTAAGGTTGGCGGGGGAGGAGTGGGAGTGTGTTGGGAGGGAGGGGCATGTGAGACCCCCAGCAGGGATGGGGAATGAGGGTGTTGGCTGCCTTAGCTTCCTGCTTTGACCCTTTCTGGGCTGGTTTCTTTCTTGGCTGGGTACTTGGCGCCGATATGGAGAGGTGGGGATAAGAAGAGTGACCCCCAACTCCCCCGGGGATCCAGAATGGACTTTCTCAGGGTTGTTTCCAGGCTGGAAAAAGGGAATTTGGGGGGACGGGTGTGAGGTGGTTTCCGGGAGCACTGGATGAAAGTACCGGGTGATCCCAGAGACCAGAAGATGGGGGTGGGGAGGAAGACGTTAGCCTTCATGGGGAGTAAGTCTCAAAGTCAGACATACGGAGGGAAGTAACTCCAAAGGCAGTGGGTTCTTCCAATCGGACGGGGTGGAGCTTAGACCCCTGCAAAAGAAGGGGGTCATTCGGCGGGGAAGGTGCACAACCGAGCCAGCGGGTTCCTAAACTGGAAACCCGAGCCTCTAAGAGGCACTGACTTCTCCCCCAGCCTCGGTGGGGAGGGGGCGGTGAGCGTCTGGAACCGGGCTTCCCGAATCCGGACGGACAGGAGTCTGAATGGGGCTGCCAGGAGTGAGCCAGGGAGGGAGAGAAACAGGGGAGACTCCTCACACTGGGGGGTGAGGGTGGCGGCAAACTGGGAACCCAGGCGTGGGGTGGGGGTTTTCTCAACAGAAGATACAGGGTCCACAACCTTGGACGGAAGGGATTTGGGGGAGCTGAGGGGACTCTCAGTCTGGACGGCAAGGACTGAGGAGGGATTGGGGAAACTGATGCGGTTTCTACTGGGGTGCTGAGGGAAGCTTCCCACCCGGGACGCGAGGCACTGAGAGGGTTCCCCAGATTGGATATGGGATACTGGGAGTGGACTGAGGACTCTAAATTAGAGCCCTGGGGTGGGGGGACTCTTAGGTTCGGAGGAAATTGGGGGCTCCGAGGGCGGCTCCTCGCTCCGACCGGGGAAATGGAGGGATTCTCACCAGTTGGAACGTGTGAGGATTTGGGGGTACTAGGGCTATCTCCCTCCCGACCCAGGGAGATGGGGGAATCTCTTAATTCTGGATAGCGGGGACCAGAGAGGGAGGACTGGGGGGGGTCCCCGATCCGGAACCGAGCTACCTTGAAGGCACCGGGAAGCGCTTCATTCCGGGAGGGCGTTCCCGCGGCCGGGCCCCCGCGCTGGGGTGGGTGGGGGGGTGCGGCCGCACCCTGGTCCCGGCCCGCACCGAGATTCGGGGCTCTCTCTCGGCCCCGGGGACCCGGGAGCCCCGCGGGAGGGGGTCCCGGCGCCGCCGCCTCCGCGGGCGCCCGGGCGCGCGGGCGAGCGCCGGGCTTTATGCGCGCAGGGCGGCGGGGGGAGGAGCCGGCAGGTCGGCCCCCGGCGGGCCCTCCCCTCGGCCGTCCCCGCCCGCCCGCCCGAGCGGGGTCGGGGGAGGGGGCAGCATGGCCTGTCCGTCCGGCCCCCTTCGCCGCGCTCCTCATCTGCCCCGCGCCGAGCGCCGCCGCCGCCGCCGCTCCGCTGCCCGCGCCGCCCGCGGCTCCCGATGGAGACTGACGCGCCCCAACCCGGCCTCGCCTCCCCGGACTCGCCGCACGACCCCTGGTACGGCCCGGCCCGGCCCGGCCCGGCCTGCCTGGCCCGCGCCCGCCCTGGCCCCGCCAACATGGCCGATCCGGGTCGGGCCGGGCCTCCCCGGGGCCCGAGCCCGCGCCCCCTGCGCCCTGGCGCCGGGCGCTCACGCGGGCCCTTTGTGTCTCTCCTCCTCCCGCAGCAAGATGTTCATCGGGGGACTCAGTTGGCAGACTACGCAGGGTGAGCGAGCCCAGGAGCGCCCGCCGGCCCGGCAGGGCACCCCGGACCCCCTGGCGCCCCGGACCCGGACACCCCAGCCCGGCCCTGCGCCCTGCTGACCCCGGGCGCCCTCGCGCCTTCTTTCGCGCCCCGCCCGGGGACCCCGAGAGCGCAGGGCGATCCGCGAACGCACACGGCCCAGCGGGTGGAGGGGAGCAGAGGAGGGTTTCAGGGGGCATCGGGGGGTGGGCTGGGCCCCCGGGACCGGCCGGCGGCAGCGCCAACTCCGCTCGCACCTGCGGCTCAAACTTTTGTGAGGCTGCTCCCGGAGCGGCGGGAACCCGGCCGGAGCCGTCCCCCCTCCAGCCGGGCTCGGCCCTCGGTTTCCCGGGGCCCTGGTGGGCGCTAGGAGGCTCCGCGGGAGCGGGGCGAGGGCGGGAGGGGGGCGGCGGCAGTGGAGAGCGCGCGGGCAGCTTGGCGCGGGGGCGGCCGGGCCGCTCCGGGGTCACCAGGGGCAAAGGACGGGGGAGGGGGGAAGGGCGCGGGGGCCCGGGCTGGTCCGAAGGCGGGTGTGTGGTTACAGAAGGGCTGCGCGAGTACTTCGGCCAGTTCGGGGAGGTGAAGGAGTGTCTGGTGATGCGGGACCCCCTGACCAAAAGATCCAGGTGAGCCCCTCACCCCCTCCTCCTGCTCCCGGCTCGTCCCCCTCCACCCGCCACTCACTGCCTTGTAACCATCTGCCTCTCCCTCACTACCGCGCGCAGGGGTTTCGGCTTCGTCACTTTCATGGACCAGGCGGGGGTGGATAAAGTGCTGGCGCAATCGCGGCACGAGCTCGACTCCAAAACAGTGAGTGGCCCTCAGGGCTTCGGGGGTCCTTTGGGAGAGGGAGGCTGCCGGAGGAGAGGGTCAGGACTCTCCCCAGGGGACAGTTGGACTGAGTCCGTGAGGAAGGAGGAGGGAGTTCTCTAAGTAAGAGGGCTGCCATGCTCTGAAACTTTGTCACTAGAGTTGGGGGGAGAGGGAGGAGAACAACCCCAGGCCTTCGATGCTACGTGCCCCCTCCCCTAGTATGGGCGAGGGAAGAAGCCGCTGCCACCCTCTTGCTATAAGTACTAATCTTGATGCCTCAGAGCAGAGCTTGGGGTGGGGCTAGGTCCCTCCCCTAGCCCAAATTGGGTGAGTCAGGGTTGCAGTGACCCACCCGGTGGCTTCTCTGAACTCTAACTAGTATTTGGCTCTGCGACACCCCCCACCCTTCATTCCAGACCAATGGCAAAGCATCACTGAATCCTCCTCCCCCCGTCCTCCCCCGACTTTTGGTCAATGAGCTCCTTGCTTTGTGTGGAAGACAGGGACCTGCTTTGCCCAGGAAGGGGATTTATGAGACGGGGCACAAGCTTGCCTGGAAACGAGCCTTCTTCAGACTAGATTTTGGGAGAATCTGCTTGTTTGGCATTCAAACTCCTGGAACATTTTGCTTCTATCTCAGTGCTCCCCAGTGTCTTAAACCCTGCAGGGGGCGCTGGCCAAGGATTGGCTCAAGGGGAGAGGAAAAAGAGAAAGTCAGGGGTTACTTTGTGATGGGGATGTCTGTCTGCCAGGGGGCTGGGACAGTGTGCTCTCCTCTCTCCACACAACCCCACTCTGCCCCAACCCTGGGCCTCCCTGCTTGGGTCAGTCACTGGCTCCTGTTTACCTGCAACAATAGCTGGTTGTGCCCAAGAATTTGTTAAATTACCGCCTGTCCCCAGCTCCTGTTATCTCTGCCCAGTGGCTTCCACTCCCGCTCGCAGTAATGAGCAAATGAGGCCAGGCCTCAACTTTGCCGGCTCTGAAAGGATCTTCTTGGCGCTGCCTGAGTGACCCAAGCTGGAAATGGAGAGACAGTGGCCTATTGTTTTTGGTGATTATCTGCCATCAAGCTGCCTGGTCTCCTACCATCCCCTGTCCTCAGAATGCACCGATGGCTTCTGCAGTGCTCAGGAAGCTGAGATTTAGGGGCTGGGGCTGGGGGCTGGAAGAGTGGAAGATGGATAAGAGGAAAGAGAAAGAAGGAGGAAGGAGGGTGAGATGAATATCCTCAGGAGATGGAGACGGAGACTCGCAAGGGCAAGGGCTTTGTCTGTGTTTGGCGTCCCCTGGCCTTGGCAAGGGGGTGGGAGGAGGTTTACTGTGGGGAGTCTATTTTGGGTTCTAACTTTCACCTTTTATTTACTCGTTGAGTTTTATTTATGTTGCCAGCTGTGAGTCAGAGTGGAGGTGGGGCGTGTCAGGGATTGGGTGTCCGTGGGTCTGTGGGTACGTGGCTTGGGTACCGTCTCCCCATCAGGGTCTGGGCAGGGGGACTGTTTGTGGTGTGCTGGTGCCTGGGAAGGCTGCTTCTGGGAGAAACAGTAGGATGAAAATGTCCATAGAGATACGGAATCAAAACTTGAGATGGGGTAAATGGGCTGCTATGATTGTCCCTGAGGCCCAGTGGGGCTTCCAGGAGAGGAGGCATTGCCCTAGCATTGATTTTGGAGGTTCCATTTCTGTGGACAGATTCCAGTCAGGGAGCCTCTAGGAGGCTGGTCTCTGGCCTGTGCCATTCACACAGGGAGAAGCCAGAGCCAGTTGCCTAGAATGAGGCTGAGTTTTGAACAGAAGGAACTTTGGGAAAAGATAGATCTTCCCTGCGATTGGCTGGTGAACTTATGAATGATGTCCACCGATGTGGGTGGCAAGAAACTCTGGCATGACCCAGCCTCATAGTCCCTGTATTCATCACAGTGTGGCATGCCCTCTCTTTTGCTGTTTGTCACTACGGCTACAATACCCAGGAGCACCCAAGTGCATCTTGATTTATCCCTTGGTTGTTCACAGCCAAGGGCAAAGGTGGCCTGCTGGTAATAGCGCCTTTGTTTGTGCAATGAAGGACAGTTCACAAAGGGCTGCTTTCACCCACGTTATCTTACTTGATTCACCACAGTCAGTTGCCCCTGGGAAAAGCAGGTGTGATTGTCCCCACTTTGCAGATGGGGGAACTGAGGCTCAGGGGGTTCAAGTGAGTTACCAAGATCACAGGCTTGGCAAGAGGCCCAGAGTTTCTAAGTTCAAGTCCCATGACCTTTCACATCACCAGAGACCACACTCCACTCTGCCCAAGCCTGGTGGCCTTATCAGGGGGCTGTTTGCTCGTAGCCTCAGGAGGGCTGTTAGATGTTGATAGTATTGGGGAAACAGAACCGAGCCTACTCGTGATTATGAACTCTCATCTTGTGGCCTTTTGCAGAGGATTTCCATTCACATTCATTTCTGTTATTCCAGAGCCGAATTGCCTGCCTTATCTAGACAGGTATCTGTATGAAGTCAGCTGAGCAAGGAGGGCCCTCCGCTCACCTGACACTTGGAGGAATAAGACTTGGCTTACTTTTGTTGTTGTTGTTGTTCTTGCTGTGAGACAGACAGCATCATAATCTGCAGATCACCCTTTTGAGGTGTGTGTTATTTGCCGATTTTGTAGGTGAACTTGACCCTGAGGCTCAGAGAGCTGGAATAACTCGTCCATGGTCTCACAGCTGGGAAGCGGTATAAACAGGATTTGAACCCAGCAGTTTGGTTTTAAGGCCTAAATGCTCAACGATTACACTTTCCTGCCAGAGGCTCTTGTGGTTTCTGTCACCTTTGTGTCCTGGGACAGGAGAGGTCCTCAGGACTGAAGGCTGTGTGGTCATCCATCTGAAATGTGATAACCAAGACCCCTTCTACTTTTCCCTTCTCTTCCAGATTGACCCCAAGGTGGCCTTTCCTCGGCGAGCACAGCCTAAGGTAGGTGTGTTTGTGTCTGGGAAGAGCTCGAATACCACAGGCAACTCTGGGCAGTGATTTTCCCAGCATTCTCTGCTATGGAAGATGCTTCTAGAACCTCTGGAGTATTTCTGGAATGGGCTGGGGTGGGAGGAAGGGATTCTTGATGTCCTTGCTCTGTGGCCTGAAGACATTGTACATCTTTCCATCTGAGCTCTGGGGTGGACTGGAGAGGGGCTGCATGTGGTGGGAGAAAGGGGGTCCCTCAGGATTCATTGTCCTGTATTTGAAGCCAGTACAGTTTGGAGCCTGAGTCTAATTCCAGCCTCATAGCTCACAGCCGTGGTGCCCAGGGCCTCAGGGGTCAAACACAGGACAGACTTAGCCCCTGAGGCTGAGCTAGGATTCAGGCTAGGGAGCTACTTCAGATGCCCTGGTCATCCTCCTACCCCTGCAGAGGGAGAGGGGACCACGGAGTCTGTCACCTGTTGTCTTTCAGCTTAGGTTTCTCTGGCTGCTCTCTCAAATGCTCTCTTACCCTGGTGTTCTGGCGAGTTTTCTTGGGGAGAGAGGCAGGGTGTGCAAAAAATGGGTTTTTGAGCAGTTGAGCAATATAGTACTCAAAACTTTTGGTGCAGGGCAGGGGCCTAAGATTCTATCCCAGGCCACAGGGCAACTAGCCAGATCTTAAACTTTAAGTGATTGAATATAGGGGACAGGAGGAAAGACTGATTCCAGTACAGGGGGTCAGGACCCCTGAGATTGCTGACTTTTCATGTGTCCTAGGACAAAATCCCTCTCTAGGTCTTCTTGGTTTTCCCCTATGCAAGGGAGTTGGTAGGAACTAGAGTGCTTTAAGATTCTGAGCCAGTGAATTCCATCAAGGCCCCCAGCCTCTGCCAGGGCGAAGGGAGAAAGGACAGTTCTAGGAGACAGGAGAGGGGCATCTCTGGAAGGGGTCCAGCAAAGGGCCTGAAAACAATTATGGAGCAGGTATTCGAAGGAAGCCGCACCAGGGAGCACATGGTCGGAATTGGGTTAATTCCATTAAGCAGTTTGGTGACAGAAGGTGCTTTAGTGTTAGGATGGGGCTGGGAATTGCCGCGGATTAGCCATGCGCTCCTGGGGTAATTAGGACCATGTGTTCTTCCTAAAACAGGGCTGGGGCCACGGGGCTGCCAGAGGTTGGGTTGGGAGTAGGTTGATGAGGAAAATGTCGGCGTTGAGTTCAGGGAGACCCTGTGATGGGCCTTGGCATCTCCCAGGAGTGTTGGTGGGGTCTTTCGAGTTAGGCTGTGGGGCTGGGGCACTGGCCCACCCCTTTCCCTGTGTTAGTCCTTAGGGAATGCATTTTCCGGACATAGTCCCCAAGGAGGGAGGTGGGAGGGAGGAAAGCTCAAGCCAGCCAGGGTATGGGGTGCACAGCTGCCCATGACAGGCCTAGAGGCGGGGGTCCAAGGGGGAGCTTGGAGGGGGGTTCTTCCAAGAGGCTGGGGCCACAGAGAGCTTGTCAGCTGGCATCCTGGCAGGGGGGCCCGAGCCCCTGCTGGTGGCGGTAGGCCACAGGACTCAGATGCCCACTTTCTCATTCCCTCCCCTAACAGATGGTGACTCGGACGAAGAAGATCTTTGTGGGGGGCCTGTCGGTGAACACCACAGTGGAGGACGTGAAGCAATATTTTGAACAGTTTGGGAAGGTGGGTCTGACTGGGGGTGCTTGCTGGGGGTGCTTGCTGGGGCTGTGAACACACTGTGGAACGTGTCGGTAGCAAGCGGGGTCCAGCCAGGTCATTCCAGTTCTTGCAAGAGGTGAAAGGGGGACTGTGCCCTTCTGGGGGGGAGGCCAGGCCCATCCACCTTTCAGGCTCCTGGCCCACCCCTGGGCCTCAGACTCTGACATCCCTAGGGAGAGGAAACCACACAGTAGCTATCCCTGTTGTTGCTTTTCCCCTGTATTTTTCTCTTGCTTATCTTCTTGCTCCCGAGGGAGGTTGCGCTCCTGCAGCCAGTTCAATCCAGTCACCCCTTGGCCTCCTGGGAGTTTGCACCTGTCCAGGCCACTGGCAGGCAGCTGCACCTTCCCCCACCCTTCCTGGTGGGGATGATAAGGAGGCAATAAATGCGATCCCCAATTGCACTCAGCACCCTACTTGCACAGGTGGGGAGCTTGGGGCAGGAGCTGGGGGCAGCTGACCCCCTAGGTATTGAGGGGAGCTGGAGAGGGCACCCCCAATCCCTGATCAGGCCTAGAGGATTGGCTCTCAGCTCAGAGGTGCATGGAGCTTTAATTTCTGGGGCTATGAAGAGGTAGGTGTGGCGACATCAGACAATAGGGTGTCCTCTGAAAGGTGAGCAGTATGCACGTCAAGGTCCCATGGGGGAGATGGTAGAGAGAGGCCCAGGTTTGAAGTCTGGGGGCGGAGGACTGCTGCTTTGCTTGGGGCTGGGGTCCCTGGTCTTTCTTCTCTCAGGTGAGACAGGCTAGAGACTGGGTCTCTCCTTTCCCATCGAGGCAGACCAAGGGGGACGTGGCTTGGGAATGGGCTTGGGACTGGCTGGTTGGGGGGGTCCCCTGGCCCGCGGACGCTGCCGGTGTGGGGGCCAGAGGCCCGGGCTCAAGGCACCTCCGTGGGGACCTGGGGAGCAGGACGGAGGGCAAGTCGGGCGGGCCTGGGCCCCAGAGGGAAGGGCGCTCCTGGGAAGCAGCAGGCCCGGCTCGGCTCCGGCGGGGTGTCTTTGTGTCTGAGCGCCGAGCATTAGAGCTCGCACTAATCTGATCCAGCAGCTGTGATTGGAGGCCGCCTGCCCCCGGGGCCGGCGTTGCCATGGCAACCGGGCCCCAGGAGAAGCCGTCAGCGGCCGCGTCTTTTGTTCGGGCCTAAATCGGCGTTGGCATGTGAAACCGGCCCGGGGAGGCCAGGGGGAGCCGGAGAATAGGCTGCCAGGGAGCGAGGGGGACAGCCGGGAATGCCAAGGGCCCCGCGGCGGGGGGCCCCCCGCCCAGATCGAGGGGCCGCCGCCGAGGGGGGAACAATGGTCAGCCGCCATGGCTGCCACTCAGGCTTAGCGGCCGCCGAACTTGGCGGCTCCCACTGGTCAGCAGGCCTCGGCCGCCTCCCCTCCCCCGCCCGATCCCCCCTGCCCTTGGGTTCCCATGGAGACCAAAGCCTATTAAGGACACTGGGCCGGGAGCCTCCCTCCCCTCAGCTGGCCCCAGGAGGGGACACCGATGGGGGTACCCTGGACCCCCAGCCATTTTCCTTGCCCCCTGCCCTGGCCTCAACCCCACTGCCCCACTAGGGGTCTGTGCAGCCAAGGCCCAGTGGCTTGAAGGGTGGAGGGGCCAAGGATGGTGGACTTGTGAGGTTGGGTCGAGGAAGGCAGGAGGGCTGTGGATTTGGGCTGAATTGGTTTGTAGGTCAGGCAGGAACCCAAGGCTGTAGGATTAGCAAGAAGGGTGTGGCTGCTTCTTCCACTCATTCATTCATTCATTGAAAAAATAATGATCGAGCACAAGTCAAGGTGCGCCATAGGACAGTGGTCATGGTCCTGACTGACACAGATGCTGTCCTGGTAGAACCTTCAAGCCAGTAGTGCCCGGCTGCTCTCTCTCGAGCTTTGCCATTCTCCATCACGTGACTGTGGGCAAGTCCCTCCCTAATAAAGATGATAATAATAGCCATTGTTTATTAAGCACTTACTGTATCCCAGGTACTGTGAGTAAAGAGTGTTACATGCACTATCTCATTTAACTCTTTGCTATGAAATGACCCTATTTTTACGCCCATTTCACAGATGAGGAGCCAAAGTCATAGAGACATAAAGCCACTTGCCCAAGGTTACCCAACCAGCAAATGCAGGATCCAGGGTTCCAACTCAATGCTATCTTTCTCAAAGCCTGTGCTGTGATCACAGCCATTCTTTCTGGATTTCTGTTTTCCACTGGTTAAGGCGGGGGTGAGGAAGATGTGCTGAACCTCAAGTGTCTGTCCAGTTTGGGTGGTCCAGATGATTTGAGATTGGGACTCAGTGTGGGTCCCCATGTGGGCTGCAGGGCCCCCAGGGCAGGAAGCTCCTTGGGGATGTCATTTCCCTCAGAGATTGCTCAGGGACCTGGCTGCCTCCTGGCTCAGTTGGGTCCTGGTTCTCCCCAGGGGGAGTCAGAGGCCTGGTATAGCTTGATGCCTAAGGAGAGCTGGAGGACCACCCTAGTTCAGGGTCTGCCCTTCCCACTTGAATGAGGCAGAGGAGGCCCCTTATAAGGCAAACAGAGGGAAGGAGGGTGGGGAAGAGGCTGTGAGGGAAGTTTTCCTTTATCCTTTGGATACCTGGCCATTTGGGGGAGGGTCAGGAGCGGGGTGGGGGAGCGGGGATTGGGGTGTGTACCAGAGGCAGCCCCTGATTTACACGAAGGGTGAATCAGACCTTAGCTAAGAGGGCAGGGAGGAAGCACGAGATGCAGGCAGAGGGAAAGAGGTAGGATTTGAGAGAGAAGCTAAGGCCTTTGGCTGTTGTGTATCTAAGGGGATGTCTTGAGGGAGCAGCAAGAGGAGGAGACTGGGGTCCAGGAGAGGGTGGGTAATGAGGACGCTCCTCCTCCCTCAGTTCCTTTCCCCTCCCCCAACCAGTGGGAGGCAAACAGCCCAGGCACTGAACTCTACTTGCTTTAATTACAGCCTCTAGCAAAAGGAGACCTCAATTAGAGGAAAAGATCTGTACCAGGAGAGGGGAGTCCAGTCTGGCTGCTATCCGCCTGGCCTTTTGCAAAAAGGGAAGAGGCCTTTGCTTCCCCATCTCCTAATCTTCCTCCCATATTTCCTTCCCTAGCACCCACTCTGTGCTTTCTCCTCCCCTGCTTTAGGTTTTGCTGTGTGACCTTGGGCAGGTGACTTCACCTCTCTGAGCCCATTTCCTTATCTACACAATAGGGGATCTTACCATGTGGGGAATGTTGGGAGGATGATGGGGTGACATGCCAGGTACATATTTGGCATATTTGAAGCTTAATAAAGGCAGGCCTAGTCCATTGAGAACCTGGTGGTTGAATAGTGGGTGCTGTGGTGTCCAGTGGGGTTGCAGAGGGAGCAGGTACAGGATAAAGCCCAGAGTGGACAAGAGGGGAGCAGGTTGTGGGAGCCCCTGTTCCTGGGTTGTGGAGGCCCCTGGTGTCTAGAGGGTCCTCCATGGCAGGCTCTGTTTCAGGTGGACGATGCCATGCTGATGTTCGACAAAACCACCAACCGGCACCGAGGTGAGTGTGGCCCCCTCCCTCTTCCCAGGCTGGGCCTTGTGGTCAGCCAGGGGGCTGCAGGTCACAGCTGCTCTTTCATCTCGCCTCCTGACATCCTATGGCTGAGGATCGGCATCCTCTCCCGGGCCTGGCCTTACAGAAGGCTTTTGTCCCGCCATTTCCTGTGCTAGAAACTTGCCCAATTGCAGACACCCAAGAGGAGCAGGGGAGTAACCCCCTCCCACCACCCCACCACCAACCGAGCCTTCCACCCCTGCCCTGGCTGCTGTCTGCCTCTGCCTGGGCTCACCTTGTCCCTGGTAACCAGAGCTGACGCCAGGCCGCCCCAGGGTCAGGCTGACTCTGCAGCCCCAGGCAGTCTGCTCCTGCCCAGCCCCAGCCCCCACCCCCACCCCCACCCCGTTGCCCCTGAACCTGTGAGCATCTGGGCCACCCTGCGTGCACTGCCTGGTTGTTTTTTTCCCAAGGGCCTTACCTTCTGAGAAATCATTTTCCAGCCCCTGGGGCACACCCAGGAGGAGGCAGGGTTATTTCTCTAGTTGTCTCAGGGCTTTGGGTCTTTTGGTCTGTTTTGGGAATGGGGTGTGCACTGTTTGTGTGTGTGTGTGTGTGTGCATGTGAGTTTTCTGTGTCTGAATATTCGTGTGTATCTGGTTTGTCAAGGTAACTGCACGTGTAGAGCACCTGTGAGTGTCTTTGTGATATGTGGGTACTGAGGTGTGTGTATAGTGTGTTTCTGTGCATGTGCCCACGTCTATGTACATTTGTATGTTTGGGCATGTACACATTTGTATAAGTTTCAGCAAGTGTGTGTGTGTTCTTTCTTCTCTGTTTGGAAAACATCTGGGGAAGAGAAAAAGCATGTTGAATGTATTCTCATTGCAGCTCTGCCACTTTCTAACTTGCTGTGTGACCTTAGGCAAATGAGTTCACTTCGCTGAGCTTGTTTTTCTCACCTGTAATTTGGGACTTGAAACCTTGTCTCAGCGGGTAGTTAGTTGAGCGGCTCCTAGGCTGTGGGCAGAGCCTTTCATTAACTCTCAGACACTCTCCAGAGAGGGAGGAGCGGGATATTGGTATGACCTGGGGTTGGGTTTTGACCATGACCTGGTTCTGGTTCTGACCCTGCCTTTGCCCCTTGTCCAACCTCTAGGGTTTGGGTTTGTCACATTTGAGAGCGAGGACATCGTGGAGAAAGTGTGTGAAATCCACTTCCATGAAATCAACAACAAAATGGTGAGCTGGGGTTGGATGGGATGGAGGTGCGGGAAAGCCTGGGCCTCCAGGCATTGATAGCCAGGAAAGCTTCGAGGTTCTGGAGGTAGGCAGAGGGGCACTACAGTGAGCAGAGGTAGACCCAGTTCTCCCACCCACTGAAAATCTAGACAGGGAGGCACTGGAACGTGGTAGTTAATTGGGCAGATGACTTCCCCTCTCTGAGTCTCAGTTTCCGCATCTGTAAAATGGGAGTGGCAGCGTAGCACCTCCATCATAGGGTTGTTGTAAGCATTCAGTGAACTATCGTATGCAAAGCTGTTTACACAATGCGTAGCACATAGTGAGCACTTTATAATGGTAACTATGAAATTAATAATAAAGAGGCCTGCCAGGGAACAGGAGGGACAGCGACCCTAGGAAGGACTGACTGCTAGGTCTCATTGCAGGTGGAATGTAAGAAAGCGCAGCCAAAGGAGGTGATGTCACCGACGGGCTCAGCCCGAGGGAGGTCTCGAGTCATGCCCTATGGAATGGACGCCTTCATGTTGGGCATCGGCATGCTGGGTATGTGCTAGGCCTGCACCTGCAGCTTCTTTCCGCCCGGGACGGCTCCCAGGACTGGCAAGGGCTGTGTGGGTGTCGCTTCTCTGTGGCCTGCCCTCCTGTCTGAGTCATTGGGCTGGAGTGGGAACTGGGGATCTGTCAGGTCTGGCAGTAGTGCCCAAGGTGGGCTGGTTTGGTTGGGGGGTGCTGCCCTCTCGTGGTAGCCAGAGGAATGGTCCAACTGCTCCGTATTAATTGGCCCTTTTGTCAGTCTGTCCATCCCTCCATCCCTCCATTCATCCAGCCAGTAAATAGTTACTGAGCAACTGTATATGCCAGGCACTATGCTGGGAATTACAACAGCGATTTTCCTTGGAACTTTATGGCGTGGAAGGGAAGACTATAAGTAAGAAGATAAATAGATTTTAGATGCAAAAGTTTAGGGTGCCAAGGGAGCATGAGCATGGAGAACTTGACCAAGACTTAGAGAAGCTGGAAAAAAAGTTGCATTTGAGTTGAGTCCCTGGGTTGAGTAGGAGCCAGTTATGGGAGGGCTGGAAAAAAGGGAAGGGGGGGCCGGGCGCGGTGGCTCACGCCTGTAATCCTAGCTCTCTGGGAGGCCGAGGCGGGTGGATTGTTTGAGCTCAGGAGTTCGAAACCAGCCTGAGCAAGAGTGAGACCCCGTCTCTACTAAAAATAGAAAGAAATTAATTGGACAACTAAAAATATATAGAAAAAAAACTAGCCGGGCATGGTGGCACATGCCTGTAGTCCCAGCTACTCAGGAGGCTGAGGCAGGAGGATTGCTTGAGCCCAGGAGTGTGAGGTTGCTGTGAGCTAAGATGATGCCACGGCACTGTAGCCCAGGCAACACAGTGAGACTCTGTCTCAAAAGAAAAAAGGGAAGGGGAAAAGTATTGCAGGCAAAGGGAATAGCACTTGCAAAGGCCCGAAGGCAAAAAGAAGGCTGCCTCTTCTTATTCAGTCAACTAACATTTACTGAGCAGCCTCTGGGAGGCAGGACCTGCCCTTACAGGGCTCCCCTTCAAGTGGGAGACAGGAATCAATGGGCATTGTCACCACAAAGTGATTGGAGGCTGTGGGAGGCCCATGGAGACAGCCAAACCCACCTGGAGGCTGGGGGGACTTCCTGCAGGAGGTGAGGCTGCGATGGGCCTTGGAGGGTGAGCAGGAGTCAGCTGTGCTCTGGGTCCAGGACTAAGGTCGGCCGCCTGGACGCTCCCGTCTCCCTGAATGGATCAGATGTGGACACGCAGAAAGAGAACAGTACAAGGAGGTCTTATGCCGGGCCCAGGGGAGGTGCTCTGGGAATTCAGAAGAGGGGGCATGGCGTGGGCTCAAAGGCCAGGACCAGGGTCACAGAAGCGGTGTGGGAGGGGAGCCTCCTCCAAATGGGGCGCAGTCTTCCTTGAAGTTTTTTTTTTCTTTATCTTTTTATTTGGAAGTAATTCCAAACTCTCAGAGGAGTTGCAAAAATAAAATAGTACGAAGAACATCCATATACCCCTTTGTCAGATTCACCTGTTGTTAACATTTTACCCTATTTCACATTTTTATGCCCTCTATGTGTATATTTGCATGTGTGTACATGTGTGTATGTACACATGTATACATGTGATTTTTTTTCCCTGATCATTTGAGGGTTAGTTACACGCATCATGGCCCTTTACTCTTAAATACTTCAGTGTGTATTTCCTAAGATTAGGGGGTATTCTTTCGCGTAACCACAGTTCAGTTATCAACTTCATACGTGTATATTGATAACGATATTTTTATCTATTCTACTTTCTGTTTTCCAATGTTATCCATGGATCCAGTAATGCTCTTTATAGCATATTTTTGCCCTCCTAGAACAAGATCCAGGTTAGAATCAGGTGTTGCATTTAGTTGTCCTGTCTCTTTTGCCTCCTTTGATCTAGAACATTGAGAAAGGTTTTTTTTTAAGGTGATTCATGAGGTGGTTTCACTTCCATTTAAAGGCTGAAAAAAAAAAAGAAAGAACGAACGAAATCCTCTAACAAATAGTGCGATTGGTGGTTAAGACTCTTGGAACCAGTCAGATCTGAATTTGAATCTCACTTGCACTGTTATTACTAAATGTATGATTTTTTTTCTTTGGGAAGGCAGGGAGACTTCCTAGTCAGCACTTAAATCATGAGATCAGTTCAGATAACGAATATAAGTGCTAAGAAAGGGAAAAACCAGGGCGACATGATAGAGATTGTAACTGATGAGAAGTCAGACTCCTATGGGAAGATGTCTTAGAGTCAGTCTTGCACAGCAAGAGAGACTGTTCTAGGTGGTGGCAACCGCAGGTGCAAAGGCCCTGAGGTGGGAATGAGCTTGGCAAAGTTGAGAAACAGCAAGGAAGCCAGTGTGACTGTGTGACTGGAGCAGAGGGAGGGAGGGGAAGAGTGCAGGAGTTGAGGACAGGAGTGAGCAGGAGCCACGCACGAAGGGGAAGGGTTCGGTAAGGGATTTGGATTATTCTCAGCCAATAAGCATCACCTTGTCTGACACTTACTTATAGTGTCAGTTTCCTTGTCTGTAAAATGGGGCTCCTAAGAATACCTACCTCTTAGAGTGCTTGCGAGGTTTAATGAGATAATAAAGTATACAGTGTGCTTGCTTAGCACAGGGCTTGGCATACAGAATGTATTTGGAAAGTACAACTATTACTCATGATACGAGATGGCGCAGGGTAAACGAGTGGCTCAGATCTTTCCCCGCTGAGCGGGGTCCGAGCTGTGGGTAGGACATCTGACGATGCCCCCTTGCCCCATCAGGCTACCCGGGTTTCCAAGCCACGACCTACGCCAGCCGGAGTTATACAGGCCTTGCCCCTGGCTACACCTACCAGTTCCCTGGTAAGTCCTGCTTGGTGTCCCTCTTCTGCCAGCATGTCCCCAGTTCCGGGCAGTCTGACTCCTCGGGGTGGTATCTGGGGGTGCATGGCTGGGGGTCTGCCTGCTGGAGGCTTGGAAGGAAGGGCATGTCTGAGAAAGGAGGGCCTCTCCCCACCCACCCCCTCCTCAACCCCTCCCCAGAAGCTGGGGACAGGAGCTCCCAGCGTGGCCACCCTGCATGGCACTATTCTCTCCCAGGTTGTTCTCTGCCTGCCTCTTCCTGCCTTTCTCTCCACCCCACCCATCTCCAGGGTTGCCACTTCCACCAAAGAGGGCCTCGGGCTTGTGGGGGGCCTCCCTGAGGGCCTGTGTTGGCTGTGTCTTCCTGGACACTCTGACGGTGACCAGGTGCTATGCCAGACGAGGTGCCACACTGAGACCCTAAATGCTGAAAAACAATTGAAAAGCAGTATAATCACCACCCTCATTTGTTTTTTTTTTTTTTTTGAGACAGAGTTTCACTCTGTTGCCCTGGCTAGAGTGAGTGCCGTGGCGTCATCCTAGCTCACAGCAACCTCAAACTCCTGGGCTCAAGTGATCCTACTGCCCCAGCCTCCCGAGTAGCTGGGACTACAGGCATGCGCCACCATGCCCAGCTAATTTTTTCTATATATTTTTAGTTGTCCGATTAATTTCTTTCTATTTTTAGTAGAGACGGGGTCTCGCTCTTGCTCAGGCTGGTCTCGAACTCCTGAGCTCAAACAATGCACCCATCTCGGCCTCCCAGAGTGCTAGGATTACAGGCGTGAGCCACCGCACCTGGCAACTACCAAACTTTTGCATGGCTTTTTATGTATTTACTTATTTGTGGTCTTATTTATTAAAAGGATCCCTAACCACTTGCATCCTCTGTCCCTGGGGCTATTCAGCTTGGAATCCTCCCTATACGTTATGTTATTTAATCCTCCCAGTAATCTCGCGACGATTAGCCCCCCTCTTATAGGCGAGGAAACAGGCTCGGAGGGGGAGCGTGACTTGCTAAGATGACTCAGGTAGGAAGTGGCGGAGTCAGGACCCGAACCTGAGCCTGACCTATTCTGGGGCCATTGCTTTTCGTCAAGCAACCTCCCCCTGAAAAAAAAAAAAAAGGGAGAAGCAAAGGATTCTGGAAGATGTTTTTGGTGCAATCCTAACCCTTTTAAGAAAACACCCAGAACTGTAGCTTTACCACTGCCCCATGCCCAGGGTATAGGTGGCAACTCTACCCTTTCTCTCTTTCTGTCTCTCTGTCTCTCTCTCTCTGTGTCTGTCTCCTTCCCTTCCCCTGCCTACTGGGAATCATGCTGTCCCCATCCCCAGCTCTTGGGTCCTGTGCATGGCCTGTCCCCTCACCCAGTGTCCCTGTGGGTGCATTTGTCCTCCCTGGGCCATGCCTGAGGGGCCTCCCCTGCTTATTCCTAAGCTGTTTTACGTTTCATTTTAGAATTCCGTGTAGAGCGGACCCCTCTCCCGAGCGCCCCAGTCCTCCCCGAGCTTACAGGTCAGTCGCTCGGATTTCGTATACCTCGCAGGCCACACGGGGAGAAGGAGAAGGGGCCCAGGGACCTCCCTGGGGAAAGCTAGCGGGACCCTTTTTTCCTGCCCGCCAGCCCTCTGTGTGGGGGCACAGCAGACTGGGCCTGGGCACTGGCCAGTCTGGGTAGCTGCATGGCCCTTAAGGGCGGGGCGTAGGGCCAAGCCAAGCAGATGGAGGCAGAGTCACTCATTCATCCATTTGGCAAATATTTATCTAGCACCTCCCGTGCGCCAGGCACCGTGGAGGCTCTGGGATGCAGCGGTGAACAAGCCAGGGTCTCAGACTCATTGCAAAGTGGGCCGGGTGGGGACTCCTGCAGACTGGAGTGGGCATGCCTGCACTTGGTGCCAGCCGGCTCCTGCCAGGAGGAGATGCAGACTTGATATTCTCAGGTCTCGTTTTTTCCAGAGAAGCCAGAAACCCAGCTTTGCTTTCGTAGGAAATTTTCGATTATTTTAAAATATCAGCACCAAACTCCACAGTTTTACAACACTGTGGGCCAAATGAAACCTATCCGAGAGCTAAATCCATGCCAGGGCTGCCCATTGGTGACTTCTGGGCAAGTGAGTGCTGGGTCCGTGGGGGCCGTGTCTCTGGCTGGAGGCTCCACGTGGGCCGGCGCTGGTCCTGAGCCCGGCTGGGGGGCCCGCGACCACGTGGGGTGCACTGCAAGGGCTTTCTCTGTCCAACCCGCTTCTCCCTCACCCGCTCCCGGACTCTCCCCCACCTGGCCATGTGTGGAGGACGTGAGCATGGATGCTGATTTAGATGAGATCTTTCTTCCAAGGGGTGCTCAGGGTTCCCCCAAAATGGGGGGATGGGAAGATAAGTGGGGTGAAGGAAGGGGAGGGAAGAGAACCACAGAGATGGAGGTGACAGAGGCTCTTCCCTGAGCAGATGGAGAGGTTGACCAGCAATTGCAGGGGTGGGGTCCTGGAAGGGGGTCCTTGTTCCTCACTTAAGGAACAACTGAAATTGCTGAGGACCTACTGTGCGTGGGACACTCTGCCAGGCCCTGGGGGCAAAGCAGGGACAAGACAGAGACGGGCCCGCTCCCACAGAGCTTGCAGTCCAGAGAGGGAAACAAATACTTAATATACAAATAAGTCATTCTTTGCAGCACAGCTGCTTTGACTTTGCTCGGAGGAAATGCTTAAATAGGCCAAAAACCAGACCTCCGAGCCCAGCCCTGGCCTTAAAAACCTTGGAGGAAGAAATGTTCCCTTTACAGAGATCTCGGCAGGGGTGGGAGTGGGTCCAAGGCTCAGCAGTTCTTGCATGTCTGGGGTCTGAACTTTTCTCTTGCCTTGAAGAAAAGGAGACTTGGGTGTTTTTTTGTCATGCATTCAGTAAATATTTATGGTGTCAGGCGCCGTTCCAGGCACTGGGGGTATAACAGTGAATGACACAGACAAGGTCCCTCTTCCTGGAGCTGATATTCTAGAGGAGGGTGACAGTCATACACAAGTAAACGAACAAGTAAATAAAATATACTTTCAGAGGAACACAAAGCAGAGAGGTGTGCTAAGGCGTTAGGGTTGCGGGCAGAGGGCTGCCTTGGTGCGTAGGGGCGCTCACCTCTCAGCCCCGGAGCCCCCGGCTCAAGCCCCACCTGGTTATTTAAGCAGAGGTCCCTTCTGCTCCTTCAGCAACCGTTATTAAACACCTGCTGTGTACAAAGCCAGGCACTAGGCACTGGAGGTGAGGGCAGACAACAAGCGAGGGGATAGCAAGGTGCCTGTGTCTGCAGAGGGGCCAGGGAACCTGGGGGAGGGAGAGGTTGCTTCTGGCAGGTGCCCGGGGAGGCCTGCCCTGAGGGGTGTTCTCGGGAGGAGGGGGCGAGGGAAGCAGGGTGGGCAGCAGAGGTACCACAAAGCCATGGCCTCCACGGGGGCCCAGCCTCAGCCTCACCCGCAGGGGGTTCTGGTGCCTGAATTGCACCAACGTCCTCCCACCTTGAGGCAGCAGGCCCAGCTTGCTGTCCCCCACGAGAGTCAGTCACCAGCCACAGTCAGCTGGCGCAGGGAAGAAAGATGTCACCTCCTGAGCATCTCTGGGCTCTGGCCCCTGTTCTACCAAAGAAACTCCGGAAAAGGGGGCAGCTTCTAGCCACACACACAGCAGCTGGGTTGGGCGCCCTGCCCCCACCCTCTGTGGGTTTGGGGTTGTTCAAGTGTGTCCCTGGAGTCCAGGGGAGAAACTGAGGCTGAGCTGCTTACTGTCTTCCACCCTTTTCCATCTAGTCCACGGGGCAGGACACAGATGGCAGTCCAAGGCAGCTCTTTCTGCCTGCACCCTGGGCCGCACTGACCCTTTGAGGTGGGGTCCGGCTGGAGAGGCTCTGCCTAAAAGGTAGGGGCTCCTTCACCCACCCCCGCCCCCACCGCCACACTGACGTGTCCATCCCTTTCCTTTCAGCCATTCCTCTCACTGCATACGGACCAATGGCGGCGGCGGCGGCGGCAGCAGCTGTGGTTCGAGGGACAGGTGAGGCCTTCTGGGGTGCAGGAAGCCAGGGAAGGGAGTACAGGGAGCAAACAAACCCAGAAGGGAGGGGAGGTGGCCACTACCACCCTTTGCAGAGGGACTCCTTTACTCGTTCACTCAGCAAGTGTAAACTGGTCACCTACTGTGTGCTGGGCATCATGCTGGCACTGGGGAGCTGGCCAGGAGGGAGACTGAAGGGGTCTCTGCCCTCCAGAGCCTACAGGCTGGTGGGGCTTCGGGTATTAAAAAGGCAACAGTGGCCAGGTGTGGTGGCTCACACCTAGCACTCTGGGAGGCCGAGCCGGGAGGATTGCTCGAGGTCAGGAGTTCGAGATCAGCCTGAGCAAGAGTGAGACTCCGTCTCTACTAAAAATAAAAAGAAATTATCTGGACAACTAAAAATGTATAGAAAAAATTAGCCGGGCATGGTGCCGCATGCCTGTAGTCCCAGCTACTTGGGAGGCTGAGGCAGAAGCATTGCTTGAGCCCAGGAGTTTGAGGTTGCTGTGAGCTAGGCTGATGCCATGGCACTCTAGCCCGGGCAACAGAGTGAGACTCTGTCTCCAAAAATAAATAAATAAATAAATAAATAGGCAATAGTACTGATGACCTATGCTGCGAGCTCCCAGCGGGGGGCTTTGGGGAAGGCCAGGGGACACACCCAGGAAGAAGGGGCTCTTCACTTTGGATTTGAAGGCAGAGAAGAAGAAAAGTGTTTCTGGTTGAGGGAACAGTGTGTGCAAAGGCTTGGAGGCCAGTGAGTGGGGGAGAGTGCAGGAGTGGGGTGTGGGGAGGCGGAGGTGGCAAGAGCTGGGTGCCAGGAAGACAGTGGGCATTTCAGTGGTCAGGCAAGGAACGGTGGCCGTCTGGGCTAGGATGGCAGGGGGCATGGACTTAGAGAGATCTCCAGGAGCTGGACCCCCCAGGACCTGCTGGGACATGGGGGTCAAGGTCAGGGTGGGTGGAACAGGTTCGAGGGGGTGCCGCGGGGTAGCTGTGGGTGCCAGGGCTATCACTGTCTTCTTTCTGGGTTGCCAGGCTCTCACCCCTGGACGATGGCTCCCCCTCCAGGTTCGACTCCCAGCCGCACAGGGGGCTTCCTGGGGACCACCAGCCCTGGCCCCATGGCCGAGCTCTATGGGGCGGCCAACCAGGACTCAGGGGTCAGCAGTTACATCAGCGCCGCCAGCCCTGCCCCCAGCACCGGCTTTGGCCACAGTCTTGGGGTGAGTGGCTAGGCCTGGTAACCTCCAGCTCACCCCCCCACCTTGGGAGACCCCAATGTTGGGGGAAGGAGAGGCCTTGTCTGTCTTCCGGGAAAAAGGAGGGTGAGGGAGGATGGATGGAGAAAGACTCCCTGGGGGAACAGTGCGGGTCGTCATTCATTCCGTTGGCACCTAGACACCGCCCTCTGTATGCCAGGCACTAGTGGGCTCTAGGATTGTGCAGATGAGCCACATACCATGTGTGCCTGAATGGAGGTTAGATTCCAGCTTGGGTGCCCTGGTTTTTCCAGGATACTGGTTCTGTGCAGATTCCCAGGTCCTACCCTAGAGAATCTTCTAGCAGTGGGGGTGGTTTGGGCAGGTAGAGAGCGGTCTGTGCCTTACCTGAAGTTTCCTATGGAGAGAGAAGGATCCCCCTGGGCTTTCCCTACTGTCCCCAGGAATCTAGGAGTCAAATCCCTTTCTTTTCAGGGCCCCTTGATTGCCACAGCCTTCACCAATGGGTACCACTGAAGCAGGGGACGGTGGCAAGAGGTGAGGAGGTGGGGAGGGGTGGGAGTGGAGGTGGCACTTGGGGGAGCCGGTCCTGGGCCGTCCAATCTGGGACACAGACCCCAGCCCTGCCCTCGGGAACCCACAGTCCTTGGAGAACATAGACCTTTATACCAGTAGCGGTCAATAAATGTATGAAAAGCCGCTCAACCTGTGACATTTTAAAGTACAAATCAAAACAGCAGTAAGGCCTGACATTCCACCTCTCAGGTTGGCAAAGAATTTTTAAGACTGATAATGCCCGGCATTGGTGTAGGTATGGGGGAGACAGTGGGGTGGGCAGGTACACAGGCTCAGGGTTTCCAAGGGACAGTCTGGTAACGTTTGTCCAGATTTCAAACACTTAACTCCTTTGATCCAGCAATTCCACTTCTAAGCATTATTTTTTAAAATTGCAAATAACTGAAATGCCCATGGAAAGGAGCGTGGTTAAATAAATTTAGAGCATATGCACATGATGGACTGTTACACAGCTATTAAAACAGGATGCTGTGGCTCATGCCTGTAATCCTGGCACTCTGGGAGGCCGAGGCGGGTGGATTGTTTGAGCTCAGGAGTTTGAAACCAGCCTGAGCAAGAGTGAGGAGGGGGCGAGGGAAGCAGGGTGGGCAGCAGAAATATATATAAAAAAAAATTAGCCGGGCATGGTGGCGCATGCCTGTAGTCCCAGCTACTCGGGAGGCTGAGGCAGAAGGATTGCCTGAGCCCAGGAGTGTGAGGTTGCTGTGAGCTAGGCTGACGCCATGGCACTCACTCTAGCCTGGGCAAAAGAGTGACACTCTGTCTCAAAAAAAAAAAAAACAAAAACAGGATGCTGGCTGGGTGTGGTGGCTCACACCTATAATCCTAGCACTTTGGGAGGATGAGGTGGGAGGATCCCTTGAGGTCAGAAGTTCGAAACCAGCCTGAGCAACAGCAAGACCCCATCTCTATGAAAAATTAGAAAAATTGGTCAGGTGTGGTGGTGCACGCCTGTAGTCACAGTGACTTGGGAAGCCAAGGCAGGAGGATCACTTGAGCCCAGGAGATTGAGGTTACAGTGAGCTATGATGACACCACTGTGAGACCTTGTCTGGAAAAAACAAAAACAGGATACCGTTGCCACACGGGACCGTGTCCACAGCCATCACAGTGTGTACCCAGATGGTGAGGGACTGTATGAACCTGTGATGTTTTGTTCATTCATTCATTCAAATATGTATTGAGCCCTATTCCAGGGAAGGGAGGGGTGAGCAAGACAGACAAGGCTGTCTCTCGTTCTACAAATGAAAATCAAGTGAACAAATGAGATAATTCCAGATGGTGTGTGAGGAGGGTTTTTTTAGATTAGGGGTTCAAAGAAGATGTCTCTGAGAAAGGGGACACTTCTATATAAAATATATAAACCCAGCCATTCAAAATCTAGGGAAAGAGCCGTCCAAACAGGGATCAGAATGTGCGAAGGCTGTGAACACAGCTCTTCCGGGAGGGAACTGGGGAAGGACGTGTGTGTTCTGGGGTAGCCGCCCCAGAAAGGGCCCCCTAACCTCCCGCTGTGTTCCCAGCACCCCGCCTGCAGCTGACTGAGGACCACGAGTGAGCCAGCGAGGGGGCGGGACACCTCAGCCGCAGCCGCCGCCCCCTCCCCCACAGCGACTGGGACTGCTACTGCCTGCCCCCCACGACGTCTGGCTCCCCTACTAACCTCCCCCTCTTCCGCCCGTGCCCTGTGCCCCCTGCCCCTGTCCCGGCCCGCTTTTATTTATTTTGGATTAGCCGGTTGCCGCCCCCCACCCCCTGCCCTCTGCCCTCGGGTCTGCGCCCCCTCCCTGCCGCGCCCCATAGGACTGTTTTGTATTTGTGCATAGCTAGAGCGAGGGCGGAGGGGGCCTGCTCTAGGCCGCGGCCCCAACCCTTGTTTTTTATTCTGATTTTCCCCTCTTTTATTCTTTCCTCTTTTTTTTTTTTTTTTTAAAAAAAGAAATCCGTTTTTAAACTATTTCTAGGTTTGTGAATGTGAAGCCCCAGGCCGCAGGGGGCAAGGGGCCAGGTGCCCCCCACCAGCTGAGAACAAAGTGTCTATGTGGGTGTGGGCCCCTGGCCGCCTCCCTCCAGCCCTGGACAGGAGGGCAGGGTAGGCCAGGCCGAGCCCCTGGAACCATCCCGTCCTGTATCATATGTAAATACTGTGAGGTGAAGCCCGCACCCCTCTCCGAGACCCCTGGGGGTGAGGGTCTCCCCCCTCCCCTGTTTCTGTCCCTTTAGACACCGTTACTGTAAGCTTGCAGGCCTCAGCTGTGGCCGTGGCAGGCCCGCTCTCAGGCCCTCCGGGGGCCTGCTCACCCCGAAAGCCTAGTGTGGGTTAAGGGGCGCAGGAAGAGCAGGGCTTGCCCAGAGCCACGGCTGGAAAGGAATTAACTCTCCAAAGGTCTCCCCTGCCCCCTACCTCCGTTGGGCCTCCATGGTTTCTGCTCTGAGCCCCGCCCTGCCGTGAGTGGGCACCCGGGGGGCACTTCGGTAAGGGGCAGACCCCAGGGGAAAGCAAAGGGCTTCTCAGGGAACCCCCACATTCTCTCACTGAAGTTTCCCACCAGGATGGTCTCATGGCCAGAGCCCCTTGGCAGCCCCTCCCCCCAGAGCCCCGTTCAAAGAAAAACGGAGGCTCAGAGTGTAAATCTTCGTGAACAGTGACGTGGCTGGCGTGGCAGGGCTGAGGCACCCACTGTCGTCATCCCCCTTCTCGGCGTCCCTCTCCCCCAGGTCTTGAGGCTGAGGGCCTAAGCTCCCTCCCCCATCATGCCCCCCACCCCTAAAACCCCCCTTTGGAGAGTTAATCGTCTGTGTGAGGTGCTTTACCGTTTAGCCCTGAGAACACAAAGCAATAATCTTTGTTACTGAGATGCGCGGCTGTTCGTGTTTTTGGGTTTTTTTGTTTTTTTTGTTTTGTTTTTTGGGTTTTTTTGTTAATGTTTCCTAATAAAAGAGAAGCTGCATTTTATTGGTTTTTATTTTTAATTTTCTACACGTTTGAGCTGAGTTCTGAGAAACTTGGCTTCCCTCTTCTCCCAGTTGCCGGAGCCTCCTACCCGCCTGGGCCCCTCCATGGGCTCGGGACCCTGGAATTCCGTTTTCTGATTTGTTTGGGGAATTTTTTTTTTTTTTTTTTAAAGATGTTACATGGTGTTTCGAAGCCAGCAAGTTACCGCTCTCCGGTGTCTCTTCTCTCCACATCTGTAACTTCTTTTTCCAGGTTTTATTTTCAGTTTTAAATTCCTAATAAATTATTTGAAAACGGTGCTGGGCTTGTGAATGTCTTATGTCTGTGCATTCAGGTCGAGGTACCCTGGGGAAATACCTCATTTTCCTGCTTGTAGGGGCAGCAGGAAACTCCTTCTTCCATCCACCTAGGGTCCTGGCTGGATCCAAGAATTAAGTTGACATAAGATAGATTCACAGGAGAAAGGCATACAAATTTATTTATTTATCTATTTTTAGAGACAGGGTCTCTGTCACCCAGGCTGGAGTGCAGTGGCACGATCATAGCCCACTGTAACCTTGAACTGCTGGCCTCTAGTGATCCTCCCGCCTCAGCCTCCCAAAGTGCTGGGATTACAGGCATGAGCCACCACGCCCAGCCCCTAGAAAAGCATAGAAATTTATTTAATACGAGTTTTACATGGCACAGGAAGCTTCATAAAGAAATGAAAACCCAAAGAAGCAGTCAGAGCCAGTTATATATAATGAGTTGGACAGAGAATAGTAAGTTGTGAAAAAAACTAAATTACGTGGAGAAGCTTAAAAGATAAGAGTTATTTTAACAAGGTCTGCACAGAATTATCTTGGTCTTGACTTCTCGTCCTTGACAATAAAGCCGTTGCTTCTCCTGGCATAGGGAGGGTGTCTTTCACAGGGGAATTTCATCTGCTTTTAAGACACAGCGTGAAGGTCAGAGTGATCTTGTTCCTGCTGTTTTTCAAGTGCCTTTAACTTAAATAGTCAATATGTCAGAGTGGTATATTTTTAAATCGTTCACTGCCCTTGCCCTCTCCTGTTTTACTTCTGGAACGTTCTTTACTTCCCACTTGACACAGCTTTTATCTCCAACTTCCCCACCGGTCTCAGAGCTTAGCATTGACAATGAAATACCACTTCACACCCATTAGGAAGGCTATTATATATATACATATATATATATATTTCTTTTAAACCTAAAAAATGGAAAATAACAAATGTTGAGGATGTGGAAAAATTAAAACCCTTGTGTGTTGCTGGTGGGAATGTAAAATGGTGGTGTAGCTGCTGTGGAAGACCTTGTGGCAGTTCCTGAAAAAACTAAATGAAGAATTACCCTATGATCCAGCAAATTCCAGTCCTAGCAAATTCCCAAAGGAATTGAAAGCAGGAATTTGAACAGGTATTTGTACATGAGTGTTCACAGCAGCAGTATTCGTCATAGCCAAAAGGTAGAAATGTCCCAAAAGTCCATCAATGGATAAAAGGATAAATAAAATGTGGTATGTCCATACAATGGAATATTATTCAGCCTTAAAAAGGAAGGAAATCCTGTCACATGCTACAACATGGATGAACCTTGAGGACATTGGGTTACATGAAATAAACCTGTGGATGAAGTACCGTATGATTCCACTTACATGAGGCACCTAGTGTAGTCAAATTCCCAGAAACAGAAAATAGAACGGTGGTTACCAGGGGCTGGGCAAGGAGAAACAGAGTTGTTTAATGGGTACAGAGTTTCAGATTTGAAAGATGAAAAGTTCAACAATGCCGCCAGGCACCGTGGCTCACGGCTGTAATCCTAGCACTCTGGGAGGCTGAGGCAGGAGGATCCCTTGAGGTCAGGAGTTCAAGAACAGCTCTGAAAAAGAGCAAGACCCCGTTTGTACCAAAAATAGGAAAATGAGCTGGGTGTGCACCTGTAGTCCCAGCTACTCAGGAGGTTGCGGCAGGAGGATCGCTTGAGTCCAGGAGTTTGAGGTTGCAGTGAGCTATGATCACACCACTGCACTCTAGCCAGGGCAACAGAGCAAGACTGTCTCAAAAAAAAAAAAAAAAAAATAGTAGCTGGTAGCTGCTTTTAAGTATTTCCTAGAAGCAGGAGCCTTATCCTTCAGGGCTGAGCAGATGTGACCTTGCTGGAGTGTGGGTACACTGTCACCTGAAGGAGTCAAGAGATCCTTAGCTGTTCTTTCCATTGGAAAGTGTGTTTTTCCCAGGCTGGGAGAGGCTGTGCTTTGCACACCTGTGCATGCATCTGGGGCAGAAGTTCAAGGTTCAAAGAGTGTAGAGGCTTTAGGGAGGTACCCAATATCCCACCAGGTCCCTTCTCTGTGCCCTCTGTGGCAGGGGCTGCAGAGATTTGGGCTGTCACAGTCAGCGTGCCTCTTTCCAGGGGGAGAGGGTTGCGGTGGCAGTCTGAACCCTCCCCCACCAGGTAGGTGCTTTGCCCAAGCCCCAGCACGTGAGAATTTGTCCAGATTGCCCTTGTGGAAAGCTTCCACCAGCTGGGAGAAGGAGGGGTAGGAGGTGGGACTAATCTCCCTGACGTCAAAAGACTTTCAGCACTCGCTGTTCCGAGGTGGTGTCATGAGTACCAGATACAACTCATATCTTGGTCCTGCTGTGTGACATTGGGGCAGTCACTTAACCTCTCTCAGCCTCGATCATCTTCTCTGTAAAATGGAGTTTGCAATTGAGCTTACCTCAAAGGTTTGTGCCAGGTTCCTAGCACGGGACCTGGTATAGAGTTAGCACTCAATGGTAGTTAATAACTATTAGCCTCAGAGGACTTTGTAGTACCAGATACTTCTCTTTCCTTGAACCACCGCCAGTCACCCACTTAGCATCCTTCAGGCCCAAATCTGGGAGCAGAGCCCATTCCTATCTCTAATCCCAAAGAACCCACATAAGAGGGACTTGGCATTTTTTTTTTTTTCTCTGAGACAGAGTCTCACTGTGTTGCCCAGGCTATAGTGCCGTGGCGTCATCCTAGCTCACAGCAACCTCAAACTCCTGGGCTCAAG